CAGGACCGGGAACGGGACCGGGAACGGGAATGGGAATGGGAAGCTCCTGAGAGGTTCCCCCAGCGGGATCTCTCCGATGTTTGGGGCACTTTGGCAGGGCTGCCCCTGCCCGGGCCAGGTGTCCTCATTGTCCCCAGCCCCACAATGTCCAGTGGGTGTCCGGTGGGTGCCTGGTGGGTGCGTGCTGGGCTCCCTGCAGTGTCCAGTGGTGTCCAGTGGATGTCCGGTGGTGCCTGGTGGGTACCCCACAGTACCTGTCGGGCACCCCGCTGTGTCCAGTGGGTGCCTGGTGGTGTCCAGCGGTGTCCAGTGGTGCCCGGTGGGTACCCCACAGTGCCTGCTGAGCGCCCTGCAGTGTCCAGTGGGTGTCAGTGGGTGCCCGCTGTGTCCAGTGGGTGCCTGGTGGGTTCCCGGTGGTGTCCAGTGGGTGTCCAGTGGTGCCCAGTGGGTGCCCCGCTGTGTCCGGTGGGTGTCCGGTGGTGTCCGGTGGTGCCCGGTGGGTGTCCAGTGGTGTCCAGTGGGTGTCTGATGGGTGTCCGGTGGTGTCCAGTGGTGTCCAGTGGGTGCCTGGTGGGTTCCCGGTGGTGTCCAGTGGTGTCCAGTGGGTGTCTGATGGGTGTCCGGTGGTGTCCAGTGGTGCCCAGTGGGTACCCCACAGTGCCCAGTGGGTGTCCGGTGATGTCCGTTGGGTGCCCAGTGGGTACCCTGCAGTGTCCGGTGGGTGTCCGGTGATGTCCGTTGGGTGCCCGGTGGGTGCCCCTCAGTCCCCGCCGGGCACCCCGCTGTGTCCACCATGTCCTCTAACGTGTCTCTCTTGTCACCCAGCGCTGCCGCGGCGCCGCTGTCCGGAGCCGGTCTGGTAACTGCGTCCCCGGTCCGGCCGCGGCCATCGCTCCGTCCCGCACTAACCCCCATCCATGGCTGTCCCCGTCCCCACTAACCCACACCGGCACTGTCCCCGCGCTGCCACCCCGCTGTCCCCTGTCCCCTGACGTGTCCCCCGTGTCCCCTCGTGTCGCAGCCACCAAGGTGTTCCAGGGGGTGCTGATCCTGGAGGAGGTGGAGGGTCAGGAGCTCTTCTACACCCCGGAGATGGCCGACCCCAAATCCGAGCTCTTCGGGGAGACGGCGCGCAGCATCGAGGGAGCGGT